GAAGGGAGAGAGAGAAAGTGAAAAAGAAAGAAGGAGAGAAAGAAAGAAAAAGAGAGAGAAAGAGGGTGTGAAAGAGAAAGAGAGAGCAAAAGAAAGAAACAGAGAAAGGAGAGAGAAAGAGGGTGTGAAAGAGAGAGAGAGGAGAAGAGAGAGAGAGAAAGAGTGAAAGATAGAGAGAGGAAGAGAGAGAAAAAGAAAGAGAAAAAGAGAGAGAGAGAGGGGCCTGGGAGAGAGGAATAGCAGAGGAGGGAGAAGAGGAGAGGAGGAGAGGAGAAGGTAGGATAGAAAGAAGAGGACTGAAGGAAAGGTAAGGGAAGAGAGAAAGAGGAGGGAGAAGAGGGGAGGAGGAAGGAGAGAGAGAGGTGGAGGAGAGGAGAAGGTAGGATGGAAAGAAGAGGATTGAGGGAAAGGTGAGGGAAGAGAAGAGAGAAAGGAGAGAAGGAAAAGAGAGAGAGGGAGGAGGGGAGAGGAGATGAGGAAGAGAAAAGGAGGAGAAGATGAGTGAGAAGAGGAAGGAGAGAGGTGGAGAAGAGGAAGAGGAGGAAGGATGGAGGGAGGGTCTGGTTTAAGCTGATTAGCAGGAAGTGTTGATTGTACAAAGAGATACGAGATTCTCCGAAATGAAATTAGAGACGTGAGATTAGACGAGTGTTTTGGGCTGAACCCGATTTTTGCTGATTTGATGAAAAATAAAATAAATAAATAAACAAGGGTCGGATTTTAAGGTCGACGTAGGAGTCAAAATGTGTCAGATGCCCTCCCATGTGTATATATCTGAACGACTACCAGGACTAAATCAGAACTAAACCAGGACTAGACCAGGACTAAAACAGGACTACACATTCTACTGTTAAACTACAAAAAAAAAAAAAAAAAAAAAAAAAAAACTACACCGGGACTAAACCAAGACACTAACAAGGACTAGACAAGGACTAGACTAGGACTGAACCAGGACTAAACCAGAACTAGACCACTACTTGACTGGGTCTAGTCCAGGTCTGAATGAGGACTAAACCCGGACTGAACCAGGACTAAACCAGGTCAGAACCAGGTCTAAGCCAGAACTAAGCCAGAACTAAACTAAACCAGAACTAAATCAGAACTAGACCAAGACACTAACAAGGACTAGACTAGGACTGAACCAGGACTAAACCAGGACTAAACCAGGACTGAAACAGGACTAAACCAGGACTAAACCAGGGCTGAACCAGGACTAAACCAGGACTAAACCAGGGCTAAACCAGGGCTGAACCAGGACTGAACCAGGACTAGACCAGGACTAGACCAGGACTAGACCACTACTTGACTGGGTCTAGTCCAGGTCTGAACGAGGACTAAACCCAGACTGAACCAGGACTAAACCAGGTCAGAACCAGGTCTAAACCAGGACTAAACCAGAACTAAGCCAGAACTAAACCAGGACTAAACAGGAATAAACTAAACAGAACTAGACCAAGACACTAACAAGGACTAGACTAGGACTGAACCAGGACTAATCCAGGACTAGACCACTACTTGACTGGGTCTAGTCCAGGTCTGAATGAGGACTAAACTTGGACTGAACAAGATCTAAACTAGGTCAGAACCAGTTCAGAACCAGGTCTAAACCGGAACTAAACCAGATCTAAGCCAGAAATAAACCAGGACTAAACAGAACTAAACTTAACCAGGATTAAACCAGAACTAGACCAAGACACTAACAAGGACTGGACTCAGACTGAACCAGGACTAAACCAGGACTAAACCAGGACTAAACCAGGACCAAACCAGGACTTGACTAAAACTTAACCAGGACTAACCAGAAGTACCCATTCCAGTGCTGAACTTCTTAAATGACCCTTTTATTCTTCGGAGTTGGCTCTTTAAAATACCCAGTGTAGGAAAGTGTGAGTCACTCGAGCCGCTGTCTGTGCTCGTGTGTGCGCTCTTTTGTGATGACATTATGAAAAGTTGTGTGTCAGTAAAGGTTATGAAACTACAAGTGACACTTTTGCAGAAGTCTGAATCCGTGTGTTTGGTCCAAATGTGATGAGTTCATGGGTTTAAAGGTTCTGTGTTACACAAAACGGACTCTTGTGAGATTTAATGTTCTAATGTTGTTTTCCTCCTCAAAAACAGACCTGGACTTGTGTTTTGTTTCATTCATACATGTTTCAGTAACTCTTTATTATTAGTCTGTCTACTTCTCCAAAGCTCAAAATGCTCTCTTCCACCTTGTGATGTCATGAAGTGGTAGTTTTCAAGTGAACAGCTCCTTTTACCTTTTAGTTCAGTAGCAATTCCAAAAACTGAAATGATCCAAATGATTCAAGTGAAGGTGTATGGAGTTTAAAAATACTTAAATTAATTGAATTTAATTTTAAATGCATTGTGTTTAATGTATTTTATTTTAATGCGTTTATTTTTATTTATTTTTATTACATTTTTTGGTAACACTTTATAATAACTACACCTTACTTACTTAGCTTACTTAATAAGCATGAACAAAGACTTAATTAATAATGAACAAAGATGTAATTAATAATGATTCACACTTAGTAAATGCTTAATAAAGGATAATTAGTCTTCACTTTAGAAAAGCTCTAAAAAAGACTTAACTAACAGATAAACGCTGCCTTAATTATCATTGCATTGCATTATAAGTAAATCATTGTCTCATAGTTTACTAATGATTAATAAATGCTCAAATGGTTAGTCCATGAGTAATTAAGTATGAAATAATTATGAGTAACTATTTACAGCACAGGCAAATTAAGTGCAAGTGCTAATTAAGGTAGTATTTAAGTAGCTACTAAGCGTGAATCATTATTAATTAAGTCTTTGTTCATTCTTAATTAAGCCTTTGTTCATGCTTTATTAAGGCTAAATAAGGTGTAGTTATTATAAAGTGTTACCAATTTTCTAAATTTATTTACTTTATTATTATTATTATTATTTTTTCTTTCTTTCAATTTAATTATTTTTTTTAATTTTAGTTTATTTTTATTTAATATTGTTTATTTATTCTATTTTTTTTCAATTTAATTTATTTTTTTTTTTTTTATTAATTTTATTTTTATTTAATATTATTTATTATTATTTATTGTCTTATTTACTTTCTTTAATTTCTTTCTTTCTTTCAGTTTAATTTATTTTAATTTTATTTTTATTTAATATTTTCTTTATTTTATATATTTTTTTAATTTCTTTCAATTAAATTTTTATTTATTTATTTAATTTTAATTTATTTTTTATTAATTACACACAACTGATTGTGCAAACGTGATACAACAAACATGACTGTGTTGTCAGCAGTTAATCGTCTGGATGAGGAAACATAAACACGTCATATTATATAATAACAATAACTACATTAAAAGTGCATTTGCATAGTTTAAAAAAAAAAAAGATGACAGCGATGGGAGCAGAGTTCATTCAGGGGACACTTTTGTTTTTACATTTGTAGATGGAAAATTTGGCAAGACATAATATTACATTTTTCACAGTGGAGCACTTCCTGTATTACCACATGACATTCTAAAGAGTGTTTTCTGTTTCTGCTTGAGAAAAGAACTCAGCCTAAATCTGCAGAATTTGTGTGAATCATGTATGACTGAAACAAAACACAACTCCAGGTCTGTTTGTGATGAGGAAATGACATTAAAACACGACTTAAAGCTCCGAGTCAAGTGTCACGTTCACCTGAAAGCTTTAATTCCGAATAAAAATAATACAATTCTGAATAAAAATGTATTCTTCTTTAAAAAGGCCGTGTAAACAGTTCCTGAAAATGATGATTCAGAATTAAACTTAATTCCAAAGTAAATGGGCTGTTTATTTAGATTTAAAAGCCAGATTAATTTATTCTTGGATCATGTAAATATTTATTCTTGTTCAAAATAATTGCGGTTTTTCAGCACATGCTCGCTGGGTCGCTCTTCGATCTGGCTCCACCAGTCCTGGCTTTAGACTTTCTGACCTGTTTTAGACCTGGATTAGAATTTATAGAGTCCTGGTTTAGTCCTGGTTTAGTCCTGGTTTAGTCCTGGTTTAGTCCTGGTTTAGTCTTGGTTTAGAACTGGTTTAGAACTGGTTTAGACTTATATAGTCCTGGTTTAATTCTGGTTTAGTCCTGGTTTAGTCCTGTTTTAGACCTTATATAATCCTGGTTTAGTCCTGTTTTAGACCTGGTTTAGACCTTATATAATCCTGGTTTAGTCCCGGTTTAGACCTGATTTAGACCTGTTTTAGACTTTATATAATCCTGGTTTAGACCTGATTTAGCCCTTATTTAGACCTTTTTAGACCTTGTTTAGCCCTTGTTTAGACCTGGTTCAGTCCTGTTTTAGTCCTGGTTTAGTTGTGTTTTAGTCCTGGTTTAGTCCTGTTTTAGTCCTGTTTTAGTCCTGGTTTAGTCCTGGTTTAGTCCTGTTTTAGTCCTGGTTTAGTCCTATTTTAGTTCTAGTCTAGTCCTGGTTCAGTCCTGTTTTTGTCCTGTTTTTAGTCCTGGTTTAGTCCTGTTTTAGTCCTGTTTTTAGTCCTGGTTTAGTCCTGTTTTAGTCCTGGTTTAGTCCTGGTTTTAGTCCTGGTTTAGTCCTGTTTTAGTCCTGGTTTAGTCCTGTTTTTAGTCCTGGTTTAGTCCTGTTTTAGTCCTGGTTTAGTCCTGTTTTAGTCCTGGTTTAGTCCTGTTTTAGATTGCAGAAAAAGTTTGGATGGTGTTTGTGTCCGCGGCGTAACGACAAACCGAGGTGACAGAAAAGCCGGGAGCAACTGAAGTGTGTGTTTTCTTCCGGTCGACGTAAATACATTCGTGTCTCTGTCCAATCAGAACCTTCCCCACCTCCAGACGCTGAACGGAAGTAAATAAAGACGATTTAACGAGTTTTCCGTGTAAACCTCAATTCAGAATTATTATTATTTCCAAGGAGAATATTTTAATTCCCAACAAATTAATTCAGAAAACATCATGTAAACGTGGCCGACCTTTTTTTTGGCGACTTTCAATTCAAATAATAATAATTTCAATAATTCAATAATAATAACAACAATAATAAGATGATAAAATAAACTACTAAAACAATAAGTCTTAAAATAATAAAACCAGTAAAAGAAATTAAAAACAAAATCATAGAATAGAAATAAATAAACCGATAAATAAATAAAAACACAGACCATGAACTTCTCACATTATATCATTATTACATAAGTCGGAAAACATTGTAATACAGAAGTTTTGAAAAGCAGAACCGGGTTTGAGTGACACATGTTTCGAGTCGGGCCTGAGTCAGAGCACATGTGGAAAGACGATACAGCGGCACTGGGCAAACGGTGACGGAGGCTGCGGTCGAAGCCTGAACTCGGGGCTGGTCCTGGTTAGAACTTGGACAGAGATCGCTGGAAAACCAGGTAGGACCGTGGGGGCCAAAACTGCAGTTGTGAAAGGGGACTAAACCAGGACTAAACCAGAATTAAACCAGGACTAAACCATTACTAAACCAGAATTAAACCAGAATTAAACCAGGACTAAACCAGAATTAAACCAGGACTAAACCAGAATTAAACCATTAAACCAGAATTAAACCAGGACTAAACCAGGACTAAACCAGAATTAAACCAGAACTAAACCAGAATTAAACCAGGACTAAACCAGAATTAAACCAGAATTAAACCAGAACTAAACCAGAACTACACATTCTTCTGTTAAATTACCAAAAATATATATATCTAGACTCGGACTAGACCAGGACTAAACCAGAATTAAACCAGGACTAAACCAGAATTAAACCAGGACTAAACCAGGACTAAACCAGAATTAAACCAGGACTAAACCATTAAAAACCAGAATTAAACCAGGACTAAACCAGGACTAAACCAGGACTAAACCAGAATTAAACCAGGACTAAACCAGAATTAAACCAGATAAACCAGAATAAACCAGGATTAAACCAGAACTAAACAGATAAACATTCTTCTGTTAAAATTACCAAAAATATATATCTAGACTCGGACTAACCAGGACTAAACCAGAATTAAACCAGGACTAAACCAGAATTAAACCAGGACTAAACCAGGACTAAACCAGGACTCAACCAGGACTAAACCAGAACTACACATTCTTCTGTTAAATTACCAAAAATATATATGTCTAGACTCGGACTAGACCAGAATTAAACCAGGACTAAACCAGGACTAAACCAGAATTAAACCAGGACTAAACCAGGATTAAACCAGAACTACACATTCTTCTGTTAAATTACCAAAAAAATTAATAAAAATCTCGGAACTAGACCAGAATTAAACCAGGACTAAACCAGGACTAAACCAGAACTACATATTCTGTTGAATTACCAAAAAAAATAAAAAATCTAGCACGGGACTAGACCAGAATTATACCAGGACTGAACCAGGTCTAAACCAGGACTAAACCAGGTCTAAACCAGGTCTAAATCAGGACTTAACCAGGACTAAACCAGGACTAAATCAGAGCTACACATTCTACTATTAAATTCCCCCCAAAAATTATCTAGACGGGACTCAACCCAGACTCAACCCGACTCAACCCGACTCAACCCGGACTCAACCGGACTCAACCCGGACTCAACCCGGACTCAACTAAACTAAACGGACTAAACTCGGACTAAACCCGGACTAAACCCGGACTAAACCCGGACTACACATTCTAATGTTAAATTACAAAAAAAAAAAATAATAAATAAATAAATAAATCTAGACAGGGACTAGAACGAAACCAGGACTAAACCAGGACTAAACCAGGACTAAACCAGATCTAAACCAGATCTAAACCCGGACAAAACTGCAGTTGTGAAAGAGCCCATGTTACGCTATTATCTGATCTAGTTTGTTCTAATGTTGTCTCCTCGTCACAAACAGACCTGGAGTTGTGTTTTGCTCCCACCTTGTGATGTCATGTGGTGATACAAACTCCACACATCTTCACCAGAATCATTTGGATGATTTCATAAAATGGATTTATTTGATTATGGGGGGTTTTTACAGCTCAAAAATACCTTTAAAAACCTGTGTTCTTATTGTGAGTGCGGCCGCCTCTTCACAGATCTGACCTGTAAATGTGGTGATTGACAAGTTTAAGCACAATTCGTACACAAAGTAAACCAGGACTAAAGCAGTACCAGACCAGATCTAAACCAGGACTGTGCCAGGACTGTGCCAGAACTGAACCAGGACTAAACCAGGACTAAATCAGAATTACACATTCCACTGTTAAATTACCAAAAAATTAACTAGACTGGGACTAGACCAGGATTAAACCAAGACTAAACCAAGACTAAACCAGGTCTGATACCAGGTCTAAATCAGGTCTGAAACCAGGTCTGAAACCAGGTCTAAACTAGGTCTAAACTAGGTCTAAACCAGATCTAAACCAGATCTAAACCAGATCTAAACCAGGACTAAACCAGGACTGAACCAGGAGTAAACCAGGTCTAAACCAGTCTAAACCAGAACCAGACTCTAACCAGAAAACCAGGACTAAACCAGACTAACCAGGTCTAAACCAGGTCTAAACCAGATCTAAACCAGGACTAAACCAGGACTGAACCAGGTCTAAACCAGGTCTAAACCAGAACTACACATTCTACTGTTAAATTACCAAAAAAATTAACTAGACTGGGCCTAAACCAGGACCAAACCAGGACCAAAGCAGAACTACACCAGGACTACACCAGGACTAGACCAGATCTAAACCAGGACCAAACCAAGACTACACGTTCTACTGTTAAATTATCAAAAAAATGATCTAGACCGGAACTAGGCAGGACTAAACCAGAACTAAACCAGAACTAAACCAGGACTTGAACAGCACTTGAACAGGACTAAACCCAGACTAAACCCAGACTACACATTCTAATGTTAAATTACCAAATCAATCAATCAATTTAAATAAATAAATCTAGACAGGGACTAGACCAGAATTAAACTCGGACTAAACTCGGACTAAACTCGGACTGAACTCGGACTGAACCCGGACTAAACCAGGACTACACATTCTAATGTTAAATTACCATAGAAATAAATAAATAAATAAATCTAGACCGGGACTAGACCAGGACTGAACCTGGACTAAACCAGGACTAAACCAGGACTAGACTAAACCGCAAAGTTACACAATGGCCCTTTTAAAGCCAAATTATCCGGAAAACCAAAAATGACTAAAATGTTACGCCAACAAATTTGTTCTTGAGAAAACCTTAACGACGTGTTTTTACTTCTCTTTATCCTCCATCCTCACCCATGAGTCACAGCTCTTTACTGAAACTCTGCTTATTAAATCTGCTCTGTTTTTAGGGATTCGTCATCTTCTGAAATGGCTCCTCCTACGAACCACCACCACGCGGGAATCCAACTACAAACCCGACCGCGCTCTCCACTCAGACCTTCATGCTAGCCACGCTCCCGGCCCCACTTATGGGCACAAAATGGCCGACGCAGACTACAAGTACCGCCTTTTGGGACAGACTTCGGACGAGTATCGCAAGAGACCGCTGCTGCTCCAGGTGGACACGACGCTCATGAATCTTTTCGCCGTTTTGGAGGTCAGGAGGGACTTGCCCAAACGATGGAGCGGCATCAACAACGTGCGGCAAATTCGGATCTGCAGTTTTCTCTTCGGGCTGGCGGTCATGTTTCTGATCATGGCGTCGTACGTGCTCACCGGCGATAAGGGGGGGCTGATGCTGACGCCGTCGCCGTGCCAGTTCGGGGCGGTGGGGAGCTCGGGCCCCCTGGTGGCGGCGACGGCGGGGAACGCGTCTCTGCTGAGGGATTACGAGCAGATGAAGCTGGTGGTGAAGTCGATACAGGACAAAGTGGAGTTTAGCAGCAAAAGACGGAAACCCAAACTGAAGGAGCTCATGGACACCGATCCTCATGTGAGTACGGGTCTGTCACCTTCTTGTTTCCATGGATACGCCATTGGAATGTTCCACAGTATGACATTAAACAGCTCTGAATAGGGGTGTAACGATATCCAAGTCTCACAATACGATATCGTCACCGTATGAGCCTCTTATTGCAAAAGCTCACGATTAGGAATGTAACAGTTAGGGATGGGCTTTCGATAAAATGTTCTCGACAGAGTTGGGGAGTAACAGATTACATGTACCGGCGTTACGTAATCAGAGTACAAATGATGAGTAACTGTTTTCAGTTACAGTTACTGTTTCAGTGAGTGGTAATTAGATTACAGTTACTTTGTTGAAATAAATGGATTACACCGCGGTATTTTCCTGTTTTCACATTTTGGGCTAAACCAGGACTAAAACCAGGACTAAAATCAAGACTAAACCAGGACTAAAACAGGACTAAACCAGGACTAAACCAGGACTAAACCAGGAGTAAACCAGGTCTAAACCAGGACTAAACCAGGTCTAAACAGGACTAAACCAGGTCTAAAACAGGACTAAACCAGGACTAACCAGGTCTAAACCAGGACTAAACCAGGACTAAACCAGGTCTAAACAAACCAGGACTAAACCAGGACTAAACCAGGACTAAAACCAGGACTAAAACCAGGACTAAAACCAGGACTAAACCAGGACTAAACCAGGACTAAAACCAGGTCTAAACCAGGACTAAAAACCAGGACTAAACAAGACTAAACAGGTCTAAACCAGGAATAAACCAGGACTAAACCAGGTCTAAACCAGGTCTAAACCAGGACTAAACCAGGACTAAACCAGGACTAAACCAGTAAAACCAGGACTAAACCAGGTCTAAACCAGGACTAAACCAGGTCTAAACCAGGTAAACCAGGACTAACCAGGACTAAACCAGGACTAAAGGTCTAAACCAGACTAAACCAGGACTAAACCAGGTCTAAACCAGGACTAAAACCAGGACTAAAACCAGGTCTAAACCAGGTCTAAACCAGGACTAAACTAACCAGGTCTAATCTAAACCAGGACTAAACCAGGACTAAACCAGGTCTAAACCAGGTCTAAACCAGGTCTAAACCAGGACTAAACCAGGACTAAAACCAGGACTAAACCAGGTCTAAACCAGGACTAAATCATGCTGTGTCTCCTCCTCTTCTATCAATAATATTTTTAATTTGGTTAAGTAAAGTCTGGGTTTTTTATTTTCTTTTATCAGACAAAACATCTTAGGTCATGATTTCCTCGTCTTTGCTTCTCTACAGCAAATCAAGTAATCCAAAGTATTCAGATTACATTACTCACTTTAAGTAATTTAATGGATTCCGTTACAAACTACATTTTGGGCTCTGTAATCTGTAATCTGTAGGGGAATACATTTTAAAAGTCACCTTCCCAACACTGATTATCGATTAATCATTAACGTTTTTATATTAAAATGATCATCATTATTATTACTATCTGCACTAATCTGCATAAATAAATTCAACTTTATGACATATAAACCGTAACGACTCTAGAGCCACATCAGCCTGTTTGAGATTATAATGTGTTTAATTCAGTTTTGTACAAGTCTCACAGAAACGAAACTTAAAACCACATCGCTAATTTGCATAAACTAAACGAAGAAAAAGAAACAGCTCTTGTGTCGCTGATGTGGTTCAATTTCTGTTGGATTAAAAGACATGACTCAGGTGAATACAGGTCAGTGTGACCAGATTTGTGTTTGTCAAAACCAGGACAGCGTACGGGGGGAGGGGGGCGGGGCCTCGTCATCCACATTGAGCGACTCTCACCTGGCAAAACCTTTTTTCCCATTGGACACAGAAACATATGTGCTGCTTTATACACTGTGCACATGGACTCACACTTGTCCCGAACGCAACAGGGAAAGTGTGGAATTTCTTGTACAAATCATCGTTAAATACGCATTTGTGCTTCGGCACGTTGCAGACTGACCCACTGTTTATGTCTCGCTCCTTCTGATGCAGAGACACATGTACCTGTTTGGTCACTCTACGCTACACACAGCAACCTACATTCGGTTTGTCAATTAAAATTAACGTAATCGATGAAATTCTTAATGATCAATTGGTAAATGGTCACATTTTTCTATAGCGCTTTTCCAACTTCAAGACACTCAAAGCGCTTTACAACAAGGAACCACTCACCCATTCACACACACATTCACACACACATTCACACACCAGTGTACGCAGACACTATGGGCAAGGTGGGTTAAGTGTCTTGCCCAAGGGCACAACGACAGCATTCATCTGTGGGAGCTGGAATCACACCAGCCAACCTGTGGGTCAGTGGGTCTGACCGCTCAACCTGTGACGTTTATGTCGAGAGCTGGAATCGAACCGCCAACCTTCAGATCAGTGGGCGAATGCTCCACCAACTGAACTACTGCCGCCCAATTAATTGACTAATCATGCCGATCCCTAGTAACAATATCCAAATCTCTCGGTACGATATTTTCACGATACACATCTCACGATATGATATTTATTGTGATATTTTGTGGAGGCTAAACAAAACTCTTATAATATACGCTACTTTTTCCTCTTAAAACACCTTGACAAGATTTAATCCAAAGAACTAAGTCTTCAGAGTGTTTAGAACCTGGTCCCTGAAGCCTTGACCAGGTTTTGTATTCACCCTGTGTGTCTGTGTGTCTGTCCACCCGCGATAATTCCGCTATTTATGGACCGATTGTCACCAAATTTGGTACGTGGGTCAAGCCCCTGTGCCCGATGTCGCAAAAAAAAAAAGTTTGGTGACGATCCAAGGTCATTTGAGGTCACACAGGTCAATTGAAAGGTCACGCCATTATAAAGGATTTAGGCAATTTCTGCAATTTCTGAACCATCTGTGGGCTAAATATTCACCCAATCATCACACAAGTTGGCACATACACTGAAATGGAGCAAAGCATCATGGTCTATAAAGTTCCCTGTTGTTTTTTTGTTTTTTGCTATTGCTGCACCATAACTCTTAATTTAAGCAAAGAGACTTGTAATTCGATATATTGTGATACTGTTCATGATATTATTGTAAGAACTTTGACGATACGATATCACAATATTTCGGTTATAGTTACATCCCTCGCTCTGAATTATATTTATTCACTTCCAGGTGGTTTTATAGCTCAAAAATACCTAGAAAAACAAACATTCTGACTGTGAGCGGGGTCGCCTCTCCACAGATCTGACCTGGAACTAGAGCTGCTTGATTGTGGAAAAAAAATCATTATCATTATTATTCTTTTTGTCAATATTGAAATCACGATTATTCAAACGATAATTTTTTTGTTACACAATGTATTTATTCATATCTTATCTTATTCAGCATTTCTCTCTGTCTCAACACTTTGTTATTGATAATTTATGCAAAACTTTCAAATTGAAAATAAATATAGGCTATAAATATGAACCTTAGAGCAGTTTTATATAAGTAGTATAAAACATAAAATTAATAAAATTATACATTGAACATGAAATAAGGCATAGAAAAACATAAATGTATCCAAAATAAACTATATATCCAGCTGTTCTACAATCTCTATATTTAAAATATACTCTACTCTATACTCTCTATATTTAAATATACTTACTTATATAAAAATATCCCAAAATAAACTTTGTTAAGCTTTAATTGTTTCAACTCAATTATAAGTTTGGAGATTGTTTGACGTACAAATTGAAATCGCGATCAAAATTCGATTAATTGCACAGACTTGCCTGGTTTTGTTTTTTCTTTTCTGGTTTGGTCTCCATGAAGGTAGAAAGGTTTAATGTACTGTGAAACATTCCAAATAAAGCAAACTTTTAAACAGTTTGTTGGAAGTAAGAGCAAGTAAAGAGGATATTTTTGCTAAATCAATTTTATTTATTTTTTTCTCCCATGTTCTAACGTTGTTCCATCATCAAAAACATGTCTGAAGTGGTTTTAGACCAGAGGTGTCAAACTCATTTTGGTCCAGGGGCCATATCCAACCTACTCTGATCCCAAAGGGGCCAGAAAAATAAAAATAAAAATAGCATATATTCCCCAAAAATAGCAATTTGTGCAGAGAAACGCAAATCTATTACAGAAATCTTTAATTGATGAACTCTTTCTTTTACAAAATATTATAATATTATGAACAACCTGAACCTTTAAGAAAATACAATTTCAACACAATGTTTTAACATTAACTTGTTTGCAAACAGGAATAAGTAAATTTTTCTTGTAAAATCCTGCACTCGGCTCCACTTTTCTCATGTTGGACATTTTTCTGATGAGGGTGTCACGGTCAACAGTCAAAACGATCGTCCTTTAAGAGCGTTTGGAAAGAGACAAGTCTTCATTTGTGCTGCTCTGGTGGGAGGGGCCACGTACAGAGACGCTGGAGACGCTGCTGTGATAAACACCACAGAAAATTAACAAGATTTTAATAGAAAATCAGCCGAGGGCCAGATTAAAGGTCTTGGAGGGCCGGATCCAGCCCCCGGGCCGTATGTTTGACACCCCTGTTTTAGAGTCATTTATGCATGTTTGAGTAATCTAGCAATCTCTCCTGTGTCCGATTCCATAGACAAGGTCAACAAATCAGTGGCCTCACGCTGCGGGGATCTACATGTCTGTCTATGGTAGAATGTTGAGCGATGGTGTAGGGTGACCACATTTTCGAAATAAAAAACTGCGACATTCCTGGTTTGTGGTGGTTGGTGGTAGTAAAATTGTGAAACGAGTCGTAATTAAGGAGAATTGTTCTGTACTCGGCAGTATAGTCAGTATAGTCACATTTTCTTTGTGTTTTGGTCATTTTTAAACAGCTTTTCTGTATTTTACTTAAACAAATGTCAATTTCTGCCTCTCTTTACTGTTGGCAGGGATCAGATTGGTCAAAAATAGCGACACCTGGGACATTTCTTGTATAAAACTGGGACAAATCACTGGTTTAGGATAAATCTGCTGGGACAGGGGACACAAAACTGGGACTGTCGCGG